TGTCTGGGCCTGTTGAGACAAACTAAACCCATGTGCACTGGGCGAGCCAACCAATTAGCGTTGTGTACGTGAAACAGCAAAACCATGTGCACTGCACTGGGCAAGCCAACCAAAACGAAACTATGCCTACTCAGCTTCGTGTAGAAAATTAGACCAGACAAGTTTTTCCATGGTTTGCCACACGAAGCTAAGGAGGAAAGCAATTATTTTGAGCACCATCGGCAGTTGTTCATCTCACTCAGTTCACTTGGTTTTAGATTATAACAACCCAGTATTAGAGTAGACTCAATCAACATTGCTGTTTAATGATAATATGTTGCATTATGGTTTGTTTATTGTTATAGTCTTTTTACTTATGGTTGCTCTGAAAAGGGCCGTTTGTTTTGAATATTTTGGGGGTTTTTGATGACGTCATCGTCGATACGAGGCGTACGTAAAACCGAGGGTTCGTATAACTGGGGTACGTAAAAACGAGGTTCTACTGTATATTAATTTTTGGCTAGCCCTACACATGTTTTGTTTCCCAGAATGTGTTGTATTTTATTTTTGTTTTTTACTATGCTAAATAAAGCCTACCGTAATTACTCTTTAAATATTATTTCATGAATATTTTAATAAATAATATAATGTTTTATGTACAATAATCGGTTATTATTCTTTTTTGTTGGTTATTGCAAAACTTTGTAATTTTTTTTTCTCATAAAATGTATAATGAATAAATATAGTGATAGGTATTAGCTGCTTAAATTTTTCATTGCACAATAACACATTAATTGTTTTTTTTTTTATTACAAAGTATTTTTTGTTTCTTGTTTTACAAATTAATTAATTATCTCTGACAACATTGGAAACCATGTTTTTTGTAACTTCTTTGTTTTTCCATTGCAGATGAATTTAAGAGTGTATTTGGACAAATGGAAGTCCATCAACGTGTCCCTTTCAACTTCGACTGTCCATTTATTACTTACCATTTTGGTGCTACTAGAAAGACCCAACTGTCCTATTCAGAATTTACTCACTTTTTGGTTGTAAGTACTTTAAAAAATATATGTTTAGGCACACACACATTATGTGCCATTTATTACCAATTAGAGAATATATCACTGACAATCCCTTTCACAAGGCAAATACGCACACACGATGCTTTAAAGTACACAAACTCACATAAGACTTAGGAGTTTGGTTGTGAGGGAAAAAAGGGGAGACTTTTTTTATACCTAGCGAACCCGCCGACTGCAAATATTGATGATTTTGAATAAAAATAAAATTTAATTTTTGGTCAATTAGTGCACCAGCCACCGCGAAAAAGTGGAAATTCAGAAAAAAATATAAGTTTTTTTAAATATTTATTACACCCTCCTCTGCCTTGAAATTTCAAAATAAGGAGTGTATATTTCTTCCTAATTATATAAATTTGAAGCATTTAACCATCCTATTTTGCATTCACCAATAAAATTTTAATTTTATTTTCTCCTCCGTCTGCATGATTTTGGCAAAACTATTTGCTAAATAAGAAAACAAAATTTTATTTTTATTTTTATTCTGCCCTTCTCCGATAATCTTTAAAAAATTAATTACGCGAAACGAGGAATAAAAAAAGTCTTGCCAAACCACTAAGCTATTCAACACCACTCATTTTGTTTATCAAAGCAACATAAGTAATGTTTTGTTGTCTGTTTTCCCGTTTTTTTGGGGTTTTTTTTTTTTTTTGTTTTTTTTTTTTTTCTCCTCCTTTTGTCCACTGTTTAGGCATTCCTGCACAAAAGCTTTTGCTTTTATTGGAAATGCCTTCTTCATTTGTTTACTTTTTACTAAATGCATTATTGTATTTTACCATGTACTGAAGTAAATTAATGTGCCTATGAATGAATTAATCTTTGAAACAGCTTGTTGCATCTTAAATTCTTGTAGATATGCTTCTGTGTGCCACCCTTTTTTCGGAATTCTTTATTGTATTTTCCTTCTACAACAGACGATAGTTTGGTATTATAGTGACTGAGTCTGGCAAAAATCAGTTCGTTGAACGAAAGTTGGGTTTTTAAATATTCAGAAGTCTATATCTTATAATAATCCATTCCTTTGTTTTTCGTTAAACACCCTTCAGTGTTTTAGGAAATTCAACATATCAACATTTTTTAGGACAAAATGAGTTGAAGATGCAATTCTGGTGCACCAAAATTAAGTTACCTCCCATTTTAAGGACTTACATTGAATGTTTATTAGAATGCCTAAGTTGTTAATTATATTAACAGAACAGTTGGTTGTTCAAAAAATATATTATTTTAACTATATTCTAGATTGGTTGTACAAATTTCCTAAAACAGACAACAGTTTGTTAAAACCAGTGCTCGTATTTCAAATTGTGTTTGAACGTTTATAAAAATTATATTAAATAACAAAAAAAAATACCGAATTTCAAATACATTTCCAAATACTGAAAACAACGTTCATATTATTAGCAAAACTGAATCCTTTTTGAATTTGTATTTATATTTTTTGGTTATTGACTTTATGTGTGGCTAAATTAAATATAAAGCTCATAAAGGATTTATGAGCTGTTAGCTCTGTTGCAGTGCTATATTATATACAAAGCATTTTTTTTTTTGTATGGTGCTATTAACTCTATTGTTAGTTTTTTATATGCCATATTGTATCCTGATTTTACTTTGTCTGATTCTACTATGTCCCATATTTCTGTTCCTATCAATCCAGATAGGTAATAAAGTGTTCCCTTCATTGTCTATCAGTCTTTTAATTGATTTTTTAATGAAATTATGAATTAAAAAAGAATTTTGTGAATCTCTTTCTGGCTAACAATAATAAATCCAATTTTATGACAAGTCGCTGTGCAAAACAGTGCAATCTTGTAGGTTGTATTTTAGCTGTTTTGTATTTTTATGATTGTTATGTATATTTAATGACATGAATTCATTCCACTTAGACTTTTGGAAAATAGATATTATAAATCTGAATCTTAAATCAGACAGGTGGAATTAAAACATTGTCTTCAATTCAAATGCTATATAAACTATAATAACATTAACAGGAATTTGACCACAATTTTTCATCTCGATTTATTAAATGTGTTCAATTAATCATCTGCGTAATCTCATTAGTGTTAATGCATTTGATGATTGATTCGGTATTGATTGTTACGCTTCTCTTCCAGAACCTCCAAGAAGAACATGCTAATCAGGCCTTTCAGAAACTTGATACGAAAAAGCAAGGTGTCATCAACGCTTTAGAATTTCAGAAAGTGATGACGATAATTCGAGGGCATATGCTGACCCCATACGTTGAAGGAAACCTTGTCAATGTAAGCATCCACATCTAACATAACCGATCATAAGTAAGGATGACCGCTTAAATAATCAATTGGTAAGACCAAATAAAAAAAAAAATTCTCATCCCTTCCTGCACCCATTTTATTTAGGTGGGAGGTGAGGTGGGTATACCCCATATTTTTAACTTGAATGAGGCAAAACACCCAGGAAATCTTGTATAAATCCAACCATTTCTATATGCTTAAAGTCCTATATGAGTTTAGGCCTTGCATAGACCTTCAGGTATTTCTGTGTGCATAGTCAGCCAGCCAGGCCCCCTAAATTTTTCAAAATTAGTTTCTAGAAATGGAGAAAAAAAGAAAATGCTAAGCAAGTATAAGACTGAGAGTGCCATTTTTAGCTATCTAGAGGTGCTATAATCATAATTTTTCTCAACTCCAGTCATCTATAAAAGTCTCTCCCTGCCACCTCCCCATTCTATTTCAAATTTCAGGTTCCACCACCCATAGTAGCATGTGCGCACTAAATGGAAGTCAATATACTGTCAGAAAAGAGTAGTTGGAGCATCGACCATGGCAGGTGCTGTAGTGACGTTGGTGTTGATCTCCTGGGGGATAATTAAAAATGTTTTTGTTTATCTTCAGGAATTACCATATGAATATACATTATTATATAACAGTGTGTTGTAGCTATCCCTTTGAAGGAAGGAAAAAAAGGTGTGACTTAAAAACATCCTCCAAAAATCCGAAAATAAGAAATGTTTTTTTTTTTTTTTTATTTCGGCTAGTCTCATCTTGAATTTTGTTACTAGAACCCATTTTTAACAAGAAGTTGTTCATATTAATTAACAGTTAGTCATGTGTGTAATAGATTTAGCCTAATAGTTATTGAGCGGTAGATTTCCTTAGAACAACTAACCTTGGCATTTGTTTCCCATTTTCTCATTGGCTACAGTCCACCCAGTACGGTTGAGAAATTAGCAGTATGAACCAACCTGGGGTGACTCGCGTCTGGCTTGAAATTGTACTCAACCCAGATAACACAACACAACCATGATACCCAGGTTGATCTTTGGTTGACCTTTGTACTATGGCCAAATATGACCAATCACAGATATCATCACAATTTTACTTTAAAACTTGCTGATTTCCACTGGTTGAGTCACTCAACCCAGGTCAACTCACAGTGACGGATTAAGGGGGCTGGCCTCTCCTCTTCCCTTCCCCCATCCCCCTTAAATTGTTTAAACTCAGAGATAAAAAGATAAATTATAGTCAAATGTAAAGTCCGAGTTCTCTTTCCAGCCATTGTGGGGCTGATGTGGTCTAGACCCTCCATCTGTGAAAATCCCTCCCTGGACCTATGGATCCGCCACTGACCCACTGTAGAACATTTTGAAGCTATTGGTTGAGTGAAGCCTGGGTTGAGTCAGGCCTAGCTTCAGTCTAGCCTGACTTTAGTCAAGCCAGTTTTGAGTCTAGCCAGGGTTGAGTCAAGCCAGGGTTGAGTCAAGCCCGGGTTGAGTCTAGGCTGGCCTGAGCGCCACTCTGTACATAGCTTTTGTGTGTTTCAGTTCTTAGTAATTGTTTTCTTTTCATTTAACTTTTATTGATTGTGTATTTGTTGTTATACTGATGCTATTCTGGTTTTATGATTCTGTACTTGACATTTAGAATAACAATGCTAATTATTCAAATCAAAATACCATATAGATGCTGGTACTATTCAATAAAATACATATTTCTTTAGTATTTGTATTAATTAAAAAACCTGTACATTATTATATTATCTATTATTTCTTCAAACACCCCTTCAATGCCTATAATCCTACAACATTTCTGGAGCCTGAATTTATAGTAATGTAACACCAATTGAGTAAAACAAACAGCCCCTAATAACTGCCATTTACAATACCTGATAATATATTTTGTTAATAATAGGTAAACATTTTTTTTCAAATACCAGGGATCCCAAGTTCGAAGAAGTCATTTCTGAGAGATCTGTTTAAGTAAACTTTCTTAGCACATCTATTTTTGTTTTGGTAATACCAATCAACACTGACTTCCGTGAGACAAGTGATAAAGGAGTAATAGAGTACCGTGTATACTCAAGTATAAGGCGACCCACATAAAAGATGACCCCCGAGATTGAGAAGAATTTTCAACAATTTTTGTATGTTGGGCGTATGAGACGACCCTTGGTGTCATTGGAATTTTTACTTTTTTTCTGTTTTTTTTTTTTTTTTTTTTTTTTTTTTTTTTTTTTTTTTTTTTTTTTCTAGTCTTGATATTACATCTACCTGGCTAAAAATGGAGCAATATTCAAGGCTAATCTTCTAAATTTATACCATTTTATGAGTTTTTAAATGTTCATCAAAATCTTACTTCGCCATATTAATTCAAATTTACGTTCATTCATACTTACATTTAGTAGCTTCTTTTTCAGTAGTAAATTTGCGTGTTACAGACGATCAGCACATAAGACGAAAATTATTTAATAAATATAAGATTTGTATTTTGTGCCTATAAGATGATCCCCTGTTTTTCAATCGTAATTTGCTAGTTTAAGCCTTGTCTTATTCATGATTATATACGGTTAAAAAACATGCAGATTTGATCAGTTTGCGGGAAATTGGCTATTTTCTGTGAGGTTATTTTCCGGTTACGCGAGTACGGGAGGCTGTTCGCTTACCAGGAGACTCGCGTGGCTTGCAGATGACTTGAGATTCTTTTTGTTGCTTTGACGACAAACAGAACACAAACAAATAACCCTTTTTATCCCCCTAGGTTGCTGGTGGAGAAACAAAACATTTAGTTAGCTATCCTTATTTTTTGGCATTCAATTCCATGTTGAAAGATGTAGAGCTCATGCGAAGGATTTACAACTCCCTAGCAAAGAACGACCCATCAGTAGCTGTAACAAAAGGTAAGTTTTTAGAGCTTATATAATATTTTTACTGAGAAATTTAATTGGAATATTTCATAACAGCCTTGATTGCAGCTATTTATTAAAATATATACCTTTGATTTAATTACTAAGGAAAGTTATTGTGAATAACCATATGTAATATAAAATTAATTTTTTACATATCTTACATATCAATAAAAAGTTATGAACTGAAGGTATATTTCATGCATAATTAGTTTTTGTCAATTACTTTCACAAATAAGTATTTTGTCTAAGCTATTATTCCTTTTATTTAGTAACATAAAACCTAATTACAAAGAGATTTGCTAATAATTGTAATTTTTTTATATTTTTATTTGGTTTCTAAAATTAAAATATAATAATGGTAGTGGTCTTGGTAGTGCATTTTACAGCAAATATCGTTTCAAGTAATTGGAGGATATTAAACAATAAACCAACACAGATATCAGAAGAAGTGAACAAAATGCCATCACACTATGCCATAAATCCAATAAATAAGAATTAATAAAATAAATAATAATTTGAGTTAAATATGAAAAATATAGATAATAAATAGAAACAAAAACAGAACTTTATTTTCTGTTATGTGTTATTCATTTAGATACATGACAGTTAGATAATTTATTTTATTTTCTTGTTGATGGATAGATGTTTTAGTTAATTAATTTTATACTTTGTCTTTTTAGAGGAGTTTCTACATGCCTCGCAGGTTTTCCCACAAGTATCACCTTTAGAAGTAGAAATTTTGTTCCACCTATGTACGCAGGATAAATCTACTGGGTACGTTGTAAGACTACAAAAATCACAGAACTAAAATTGTTTAATTAAATTTTATTTAATAGTTGAAAATGGTGTATTTTGACAAAATCACATTAGATATTTTTTGATCAAAACTAGAACAGGCGCTCCATAGAGTGCATATCTTCATCTTGTGCCTTGATACCGAAGAATACGCAGACTGTGCATGGGTGATTCCATTAGTTTCTTTGATGCTCAAGGCTCAGTTCAAGGAATTTCCTTGACCTTTGACATTTTCTTCCCTAAAGTTAATTAAACAATCTCTTTCTTAAGTTATTATGTACCATTCCACTAAATTTTATAATGGTGTGTTCTTTAGTTTTTATGTAATCTTGCTAACTGACAGGCAGGGGTGAATACATAACCTCTTTGTGGAGATAATTTACAAGATAAATATAAAATATTTTTTGTTAATATGTATGTTGGTATTAAATCGACTCTCAATCTTTTCCTTTAATTAGGCGTATAAATATGGCTGACATAGACAAGATTGCACCCGGTGCTGATCTAGTTCGACAGCAGACCCAGCAACCTAAATCTGAAGTAGATAGAACGGTTTTGGTACAGGTAGCAGAGTCAGTGTATAGGTTCATGCTGGGCTCAATTGCTGGCGGTAAGGATTAAAAACTATGCTGTGTTACAATCAACAATTTAGATTTAAGCTCTAAGCATGATCAATTTGAGAAAAGAAAAATGAGAATTAATGTAGTGTACAAAGCATTTGTCCTCAAATGGTAGAAAACTCCAACTTGCTATAAATGATTTTTAGAACATTTTTTTTTTAAAGAAAAGCCTTTAAACAGCATCTAGTGCTATACACTTGACCATGTCTTAAATTGTTTCAAACCTTTTAAAAATTGCCTCAGAATGAGAATTTTCTGTGGACACAGATCCCAATAGTACAACTTCAATACACAGTTTTGATTTTAGCAACATAAATAATTTAAATTTCTTTTTTATTCTGGAAATACTCATACATAAGTACTGGTATCCCAAGAGGTCCAGATTCAACAGTAAAACAATCAAGCAACAAAATTAATATGTTATATCACAAATCCTATAGTTATATAAAAGATCATGATAGGTGGTTTGCCGAATACTCTTTTTAAATATATTTAATGTAATGGTATCAAATGGGTATCTAACAGGAGCACATTCCGTAACTTACATGCCCTGTAAAGGTAGTTTCTTTTTCCTTGTAAATTGTTCAAGATTGGGGTGATGACTGCCTTAGAAGGTTGATTTCTTGTATTTTTTTAAGGAAAATGTTGTAGTTCTTGATATATAGTCCTTGGTTTTGTTCTGTAGCGGCTGGTGCCACAGCTGTGTATCCAATTGATCTGGTGAAGACAAGGATGCAGAACCAGCGGGGTGGCTCAGTGGTAGGAGAGTTGATGTACAAGAACAGCTTTGACTGCTTCAGCAAGGTCATCAGGTTTGAGGGCGTGTTTGGATTGTACCGAGGTAAACAAAATACATTAAACATTATTCTCTTTAATTCTGAAAGTCCGCACTGTCAAGTTTTATGTGATAAATAACTCGGCCGTCCCAAGGCAAAACAGTGTAACTGTCATTTTTGTCGATTTTGAGATAATAACATTTGGGAGTATATTAAACACTTCTGAATTACCTGTGAAATTTTCAGGTCTCAACAATGAGTCATTTTGGAGATAGCACCTCTTATATTTAAACACAAAACTTAAAATCTAGTGATTTTCAATGGTAAAACAAAGTAGCTTCAAGATTACAGGCAAAGCAATATATCTACGATGAAGATACATTGTTTTGCTTCGAAATGGTATTTAAAATTTTTTTTGAGCTGATGGAGTTTAGCTCAACAATGACGTATGCACATGCAAGATAGTGTATATGTTTTCGAGGTAAAAAAACGTATCTGTGAATATCGTTAATAACTTTGCAATAAACCAATGGTTGTAATTCAAATTTTATATATAATCATAATGTCTATAGATATATAGTCCTGCAAAATTTGAAAAGTGTACAAGAATTTATTTTCAAGTTGCATACATGCAAACTTTAACTCTATTTTTCTTGAAAAGTAACATTTTCAAGTTACGTTGTTTTGCCACGGAACTGCTGAACTGTGATATATCCATATTTGGATGTAATATGACATCATCATGCCCATAAATGGGCACATCACACAAATTTGTTACATAAAATTTAGTAATGTAGTATCAAACAATGATTTATGATTCATTTATCTGAGAAATTGCTTACATATTGTTTTTTATTTTCTCTCCTCAATCTCTTTACTATTTCTATAGCATCACTCTTGTTACATATATCTTTGTCATTTTAAAGCATTGGATATGCTGATTTTAAAAAGGAATGAATCTTTCAAAAGCAAAAGGTTCCCTTTGGCAGAAATAAAAACAAATTAATTAAAATTTAACATTAAACCAACGCGAAAGAATTGCTATACCATCATCGAATAAATACAAGGTATTCCTTTTATTTTCAGGTCTGTTGCCTCAAATTGTAGGCGTAGCACCAGAGAAGGCCATCAAACTAACAATGAACGATTTTGTTCGTGACAAAGTACGCAATAAAGACGGTTCTATACCGTTGTGGGGTGAAATCATTGCTGGTGGTTGCGTAAGTTAAAGATATTGTTTTGTCATAAAATATAGAAATCCTTCATAAATTTAAAGATGTGTTATCCCATGGATGTTATAGCGAAGAGGCAATTGATAACATATAAGAACTTTTTTTTTATTGAAATAACAATAAAGTTAATCTTTATACCAGTATGTAATAATTTTGTTATTTTTGTTTAATATTTTTCAGTAAGATTCAGGGGTGTATCCATAATTTTTTCTGGATGGGTTGTGATCATAATTTTTTGGACCTTTTCACAATGAAATTACAGCAAGATATGATTAAAATGTCAATACAATTTGCTTGAAGCGGAAAGCAGGCTTAGTTTCAGAATTGCTGGAATTGGGATAGATTGCGTCACGCAATTGGCAAGGTCTTTGGACTTATTGCTTGTACTTCATCAATGCTTTTTCATTTATGTCATTGTGAAAAGGCCCTAGAAAAAAATGTCTTTGGAAAAAATGTAGACCTTTGAAAATTTTGGGGGGGTCGTACGACCTTCCCGACCCCCTCTTGCATACACCCATGAGATTATCAATTATCACTGTTTATTACAGTAATACTGAGTCATTTCTCCTTCATTATTGAAATTCGTGAATGTTGCTTGTTCCAATAGGCTGGAGCATCCCAGGTCATGTTCACGAATCCATTAGAGATTGTGAAAATACGATTACAAGTGGCGGGAGAGATTGCGGGTGCGGGGCCAAGGGTCAGTGCCATCAGTGTCATCAAAGACCTTGGTTTATTCGGTCTTTATAAGGTAAGCATTCCCAATGTTCTGCATGCAAGTACCAAAAAATCTCATTACGTTGCTTGTATTTTGACGAGTTAAAGAATCGTTTTACAAGTAGGTTGTAGACTTTAGGGTGGTGGTCATTGTATTTTTTAAAAATAATTTAAACCACTTTGTATTTAATTGTTAACTGAATAAAAAAGCATTAGTAATCAACCAAAAATACAGTTAACGAAAATAAACTATTTAATTGCGCATTTAATTTCCTGTTTACATCTAGGCATATTGTAATTGGTCAAATTCTGGCCAGAGGTTAAAAACATTGATGTATGTAATTCAGTGGCGTATGCTAAATTGCGGTCTGTTAGTGGAGTATCGTATTGCACATTAATAGTGACATTTGGTACGCTGTGCACAGGGGTTCACACATTACACTAGCGTAATGTGTGAACGAACATACTGTAGTCATACACTGCCAACTCAAATTAACTCAATTTGTTTGTGTTTTTTTTTTTCCTTTAACCTAGGGAGCCCGAGCTTGTTTCCTCCGTGACATTCCCTTCTCTGCAATCTATTTCACTTCATATGCACATCTGAAAAAATACTTTGCTGATGAGAATGGTCATAATAGTGCTCTGTCACTGCTCACTGCTGCTACAATCTCAGGTGATTCTAATTAATAATGATAACAATTGCAATTATTTCTGTTAATATATCATCAGAGGTAGATTCAAGGGCAGATGGGGAAGATTTGAAAAACATTTTAAATGGGGGAAGAAGAAAATTGCATTAAAATTCAAGTTTGAGAGTGTCAGATCCAGTCATTTGGAATCCTCCATGTTCTTGTTATAAAATTTGTTTGAGAGTGGAGAACTAATCATTTGGAACCTTCTATGCTCAGTAACAAAGTTTGCTTTCGAGACTTTAGGAGCGGAGCTCCATGCATGGAATTGATATATTTCACCGACAGTCAATAATGGATTGAATTTAACTTCTACTATTGATCTTGTCTTGCAGGTGCCCCGGCAGCTTCTCTTTTAACACCAGCAGATGTCATTAAGACAAGGTTACAAGTGGTGGCAAGAACTGGTCAGACGACATACTCGGGTGTGTTCGACTGTGCCAGAAAACTATGGGCGGAGGAAGGCGGCACAGCATTCTGGAAGGGTGCCGGTGGTGAGTGAAATATTAAAGTTGATTATAATAGTTGAAAAAGTTTTAATCATGGTCTTTGTAAATTTCAAATACTGCCATCAATCTGGGGATATGATATTTTATTTTTTACATTATAGTCAGTTTAGAATGGTAGCTGTCTGCTTTCATAACTGTAATGCAAGTTTTGACTTGAAAACCTAATAATAAAATAACCTTTACCATGTAATTTTCTTATGCCTGAGCATTACTAATTAGCTATTGAGTTTTGCAGCTCGAACAGAAATTTAAATAAAACTTGTTTACTGTGACACTGCAAATAATAATTCATTGCTAGGCCTAGTCGAATGCATGCTACGAGCCTAACCAACCTTGATATTTGGCATCAGCAAACATGAATCTGTGATAGTTTAGACAGGGCTTAAGATTCCCTTATTTTAAAACTCTTTTTTTAGGACCTGAAGATTGTTTTGAAGGAATTTTTTCTAGGAAATAATAATGCCTCCTTCGGATTCTGTTTTTCAACAATGCCCTCAAAGCCTGACCTTACTTGTTTATTATTGCACTGCAATGTGTTGTGTTTTTTTTCCTCCAGCCCGTGTTTGCCGTTCGTCTCCTCAGTTTGGGGTAACGCTACTCACTTATGAATTACTGCAGAGGTATCTTTATGTAGACTTTGGTGGCATGTAAGTTCCTTCTATTACTTTTTTAACACAAAGTAATTGTAATGTTTAAATGTTTTTCATGCTAATTTTTGAGTAGTGCTTTATTACACAATTTTTTAACAAAGTACAACCATTTTTTAATAGCTTAATGGTTATTCCTTTTTAAGGATTAATGTATATTGATATATATTTTCTGTAAATAAAATCTTAATTTTAAAATTCATATTCATTTAAAATTGTCTTCACTGAGAAGAATATATATTTGTATGCTAATGGACTGTAAGCCCACGCTTCGATTATTGTTGCTACGGTCCCACTAAATGACAAATGTCATATCTACATACAATAACAGTATTGTCAATTGTTGTATATAGCTGATATGGTGATTTATGTTTATATTACATGATTGTAATTCAAGCATTTTAGCTTTTTCTACTGCTTTCCTATGTGTTCTTTTTATACTAATACAATTGTTGATGCGTTAAATACAAAATCATTTAGCACTTGGAGTGTTCATTGATCTTTCTAAAGCTTTCAATACAATAAACCAAAATATCCTTTTATGTAAGTTATCTTATTATAATATAAATGGGTTGGCACTTAATCTTTTTTTAAAAGTTATTTATCTAACGGTTCTCAATGCACCAAATACGGAAATTATATTTCTAATTTCTCTCCAATAACCTGTGGTGTTCTGCAAGGTTCATTATTAGGTCCTCTCTTAATATTTGTTTTGTACATCAATGATATTCACAGGTCTTCTAATTTGCTGTATTTTTTGATAACTGTAAATCAGCATATGGTCATATAACCCAGTACTTTTTTAGTAATAAGCTCTCCATTAACCATATGTAGTATAGTTTCATCCTGGCTATCAGGACTGTATTGGGTGCACCACTGTGGACGCCTTTATGTATTTTCTAATCTCCAACTTAAGCTTCATGATATAACACAATCTATATTCATCTATTTAGTATTAAAGTTCTTTTCCCCAAACATCCTTTATTGTTTATTTCTAATCTCCCTCTTCACAAACACGTACCACATTACAACACCACACTAAGGCTAGATCTGAACTCTATTCCTATTCGCAAAACTAATTACTTTCAACGCAATATAGGTTTTTTCTGGTCCGAAATTATGGAACAATTTACCTTTTAACAAAATTACCAATTCGCATTCTAAATGATGTTTTCGACTAGCATAAAACACCTGTTCTGTTTGGCTGGCACTTTACAAGATTTTCTTCTTAAGGTCTCTTATACACATCTGATGTGTATAAGAGACAGATATTATATGGTTTACTAAAGAAAAAACTTTTTGCATTCAATGAAAACAAATACTGTAATAAAACTTAAATTTGCATAATTTAAGGCATGCATATATCTATGGCCCTAACAATAGCATGTTCTGATTGGTAAATTTGATTGGCACCCTAGTAACCTTTTTTTTCAATTTTAACTTGAGCTAATTTGTAATTCCAATAATTTAAGCAGTTGAAATACATTTTTGAAGTTTGTTTAGCTCAAAACAGACAGTATCTTTCTTGAATTAGTAACACTTGTGTAGACTGTCAAAATTTCTTTTTATAAACATATTAAGGCATGTCAAATACAATGTAATAGTCTAAGCACTTTCTTTGTAACACTTAAAAGTTTGATTTCGATAGTAAGTTCACTGGTATTGTACAATATTCTGTTTTGTTCTTGCAGGCGTCCTGAAGGATCACAAACGGCCCAGTCAGTGCACCTGGCTGACCTGCCACCAGTTAACCCTGAGCATATCGGTGGCCTGCGGTTAGCAGTTGCAACCTTTACAGGAGTCGAGTCCAAGTTCGGACTATTTTTACCCAAATTTAGAAATCCCATCCAAATTGCGAAACAGGAGAGTTAGCACCAATAGAACATTTCTATAAATCATACATAAAATGGGATTTTTTAACTAGCACGAGTCTTTTAAACTTTGCAAATAGGCTGGAACAGGCATACAGTATAACTAGTTGTTACACTCGCTTACACACTAATTGCCAGTGAACAAATCTGAAGCCCTCTTCAGACTATCAGATATTATTTGACATGCCACGACTATATATGGGCATACAACAGTTCTTTTTTTCAAAGAAAATTGGGTAATAAAGACAGAGCTTTAGACCCTGTCCAAAATGTCAAATTTTATTGGACAAAAACATGTGACATGCCTAAATATGGTCATGATGATATCACATCATGACTATATTTGGGCATACAATAGTTTTCTGTCAAAGAAAATTTGATAATGTGGACAGAGCTAGATATGTCCATGGGCTGCAGTCAAGGATAGAAAACGCATTTAGGACTTGGGATTAATTTTTTAAATCCAAGTCAACCGAACAACAGAACCGCAGGTTTTGAGCCACCAGACAACTACAAGTTGAATTAACAGTCAATACTCAGGAAGTCTTCAGACACCAATCATCTGGAGTGAGACTGGCGACAGGCAGATAAACCGCAAAATGTCAATTCTTCCCTTCCGGATAATATGATATCGGCATAAAACCTCAGCGATCAAGAACTTTGTGTGCATTGAAATAGATCATCTTTAAAATAGACAGTGCAGCTGAATATGCGTAGATATCTTTGCCGTGTGCTATTGTAAGTAGGTCTCTGTATTTAATCAAATGAATTGGATTGTTTTTATTACTTCATTCATGCTGTGGGTTTGTTTTTGAATTGTGAAAATAACCAAAAAATAATACCTAAACATTAATTTCAATTCTATCAAAAATAAATTTTAATGATGTTGCTAGGTTTACAAGCTTTCCCTGTCTTTTGTTTCATTTTTTGTAAAATATTTTGTGCATTCATTTCTGCAAACTTCAGACTAAATTAAATTAACAATGTATGTCTTGAAATTAATATTTTGGTGAAAGTATTTTAATGAATTAATTTAATTGACAAAGATGCAGTTTCTCTTTAAGAGTTTGTTATACAATAGAATTTTTAATAACAAATCTAATGTAGTAAATTTTTTTACGAAGAAAAGGTTCTACAAGGATTATACAGAAAGAGTACACATTGAATATTTTAAGTGCAAGTTTTAGGACGATGAGATGAAAAATACCACAGGAGGATTCCTGACAAGATCTGATGGTTATATAAAGTGGCTTTAAATGTTCAAATGAAAGGCTTAGTACGATGGAGAGATAATCTTACTAAAATTATTTGCCTTTAAAAGGCTTTATACATTCACCGAAAAAACAATGTTTGTGTATTAGCTGGTCAACAAACTTTAACAAAATAAGAGTATGGAAATTAATCAAATGGCTATAATATTATGATATCCAATATATATACTTACTATTTATTCAATTAGAGGTTCACAATAACATTTTAATATTTATTAGCAGTATGTAATTGTCATATAAATTCATTTATGATATGATGATAATCTGATGGTTTATGTATTAAATTGTTTGTTTCTGAAGTGGCTTCCTCCATTCCACTTTTGCATCTGGTATGGCAAAGAGTTATGAGAATACTTAAGTGCTAACTTGCAATACATTTAATCCTAAAAAAATTTTTCTTCGAAAAATGTTTAATCTTCCAACATAGTGCATAAAGATAGGGAGAATGATATGGTTACACCAGCTTCAGCACATCAGATTTGCATAAAATCTACAGAACAATAACTACAGCCTGATAAATTGCCATTTTAAAATGTAGTTTTCATGAGATATAATGAAGTATGCAAAACTGCTATGACATGATCGATCCAGCCAACAGGTTGTGCAAGAGTTGCGCCATTATAAAGGTGAAGGTTCACAAATTCTTCTTGGACTCTCTTGGATCAAATTAGTTCTCAAGTATTCTATAACTACTCTGTGGGTATAAGATGATACTGTGAATGTAATCATTGATTTTTCAGGGAGTGCATTTGTAATTTTGTTTACATATTTGTTTTTTTTAATAAATGATACATGTAATTGTTTTCAAAATAATCTAAAATTTTCATTGCAGTGAAAATTATGTGTTGTGTTTACAGTGTTTGTTTATGCACATTCGATAAGTACAGTATTGCATAGAATAACAATGAAATAAATATTTTGAGGAGAAAAAAAAACCAGAATGAACACATATTTTGTTTAAGTTTTATTGACTTTGTACATACCAGAATGAGGTTGTGGAGAGGGCAGGTACCATCCTGACCAGAGGGGTTAGTATCAATTAGGGAGAAGGGGTGCGCGTAGCATCAGCCACACAATACAAGACGGCTTTGTTTCAACTAAGAGCATCCCTGAATTATTAATTGTTCATACATAATTCATTTATTACATATGCTTTATATAAATTTTAACATGGAAAGCCATGTTATTTTATCTCTTCATTATAATGTTGAAAAGCTATAAAAGTATATATGTTGACATTATATTTTATTTGAAATATATCTATCAATATATATAGATATATACCCAGACACTAGATACATATTTACAACATGTTTTGATGTCATTCGAACATCATATCTTGAGGCAAACTGTTGAATGCATTACAACTCTAACCTATATGCAAATCTGTCATATTTTCTATAAGCTAGGACATCTTAAAACCAATTTACTAAGTACCTGAAAATTGCTTTATCCTTACTAAAACATAATGAAGATTAATTTGTTGTATTTAGCTGTTGCACATCATATTTAGGCCAGCAATATCAGAAAAAATATAGAATTACCAGTTCCAAGTACTGTAAAATCTTGATTAATACCATTCTTTTAATACGGTTGGTTTGCCTTTTTTGCTCGAGGGGAGACGAGTGTAATGTAATTTTTATAAAGATAAAACTATAAATTTGACATTCAATTTTTTTCCTTGCTGATGGGTAACATACAGTAGACTACATATTCATATAAGGAATGTTTTTCATCGAGTGATCAGAGTACGATAACCTACATTTTTCCATCAAGAACACTAATTTATAATCATGGATTATCAAACATGAAGTACTCACTTCAATCGTACAACACGTTTCTCTTCATCTGTACATTTCATTATACCACGTTACAAGAGAATTGGAGGTTTTTCATTTCTTTGTTATGCTTCTAAACTTTGGAATAATCTTCCAACTGACCTTAGAGATATCTCCGATCCTTATCTTTTTAAACGTGCACTCAAGACTTACTTGTTTGCCCAAGTCCCTTTTTGCTGCTTTTATTGTTGTAATCTGTTTATTTGTCTTTGTTGTTTGTGTGACTGTACTACTGTGATGCTTCGGGTTCCTGAATAATGACTGATTTTATGCCTACCATTGTTGTCCTGAATTATTGAGGCTTGGCTTGCGCTTCATAACCGCAAGGGAAAGGCGCAATATAAATACCCAATACCAGTACCAGTACCAAATCAATTCGGCAAAATGATAAGGACCATTGCTAATCAGCCTGAGTAGAACAGGCTTTGAATATTCCAAGATAAAGATACCAGAAAGATACTCGCACTCATATGTTAAAAGGTACAATAGTACATTTGACTTTACTATGATGCTGGTATGCATAATTTTAATAACAATAATAATAATAATTTTAACAATGTTTTTTTAGTCATACAAATATTTTTTAAAAATTCAATTAAAATTCAAATTATTATTATTATTATTGTTATCTTTAAATATAATACCCAAAAAACACCACCTAAAGAACACCATAAATATTTAAGCAGCCTCTATAAATTTTCAATAATTTTGTGGTCTTCGTGAACGGTGTTGCCGATTACATAATACTGGAATGTAGTAACATTTCCAGCCAACTGCAGATGGTTTCATAACATGTCATTATCAAGATCATTGATGCTGTCTCTGCACTGCTACATACAAGTAGCAAAGTTGTATAAAATTGTAATATATGCAAGTTTTGTATTTTAACTTCGTCTTGTTCAAGATTTGATCATATCTGCTCATAATATTTCATTATCAGAAAAATGTATCTTAGAGTAACCACAACCAGAATCCTAAGTGCACAGGAATCCCTACCAAGGAACTGGACCCCAAGTAAGGAGATCCCGGACTTTCCCATCGCAGAAGCTAATTATATTTTTGGGAAACTTCCGTACTTAAAAAAGACATTTTTGTGCCATCTAAATTTGCCTTACTAGATTCTTTAAAATTTGCCAATAGATATGAAGCTGTGAGGTGAATTTAAACTCCTGCCAGGGAATTTGGACCTCTTGTTGGGCACATTTCAAGCCGTCTGCTGGGGCGGATGCAGGATTTGGCGGTATAGAGGGTGCATAGAGTCCACTCCAAGGGTGGGGCTGAGGTGTAAGAACATTTTGAGAATATGGATCTCAAGGGGCCTGGAAATTGCATTCATACTTTTTCAAAATAATATATCAACAATACAACAATCATTTTTCTTTAATACAATTTAGGTGGTGCGATCGAACCATCTGTACCCACTCTGCATCCACCCCAGTCTGGACCTTGTTGAGGAAATTCTGGCACCACTATTTTGGAAACCAATTGTTATTGATTTACAAGACTGAAAACTACATTAATTTAGATTATCCAGATAAATGTATTATAAATGTAAAAATACCAACCCAATATAATCAACATCTACTCTTGATATTATACTTGTAACTTATTGCAATTATTGTTAAATTTATTCACTTAAATCAAATCATAGATTACGTAAATATCTATCGATTTGTTCTTGGTAACAATACTATGATCAAAAGAAAAAACAAAAATCAAAAAAGCAGAAATAAAAAATGGAAGACTACATTCAGTTTCCTATAAAAGTTTTCTAACTTGAAATGATGAAAAAGATGGCAAGATAAAGAAACTGCAGTAAAACTAGTTACATGTTTGAATGAGCCACTGATCTACACATTAGATTTCTGAAAACAATTGGCTTACTGAAGGTTTTCAGAAAGGATATGTTTTAATGCCGATGAATGCCGATTTAAAGTATTTGGAGTTACATGCAGACTATCAAATCACAGTTGATTCCCTAATATTTCAATATTTACTGTAAGATAACATTAAAAATATGATGTTATTCCAGTTATTGTAGATATATTACACAGTGACTTTACAGGGACAGATTCAGAGAAATATCTGGGTAGGGACCATGTGACGTGCGAAGCACTTAAAGCAGGAGGCATGTGAGATTTTTATTCCTCTGGTACATGAAATTTAAACCAAAAATTAGCTTGTTTTGGAGTAAGCCTACGGTACTATGCTCCTCTCTACTTCTTTTCTTCTCTCAGTTTTTTTTTTTTTCTTTTGGGTGGGGCCTTGTCCCTGTGGATCTGCCCTGCTTAAGGAGAAACACAACTTGATTAGGAAAAAGAAGATCCAACTATAAAACAAATTCAATCCCTGCCCTGTAGTTATTTTATAAAGCACAATATTATTACTTAATGTATTTTGGAGAACCCATACTTTAACTTCAAAGAATAAATCATGCTGTAAGCATGACCAACCCAAAATCTAGGGTCATATTTTTTTTAATTTGCAAAATATATTTTCCCCAAGAAGAAGCAGCTTTGATTTTTCATTAATAATATGTTTAACGGTATATGGCCGATTAAAATATAAAGATTTAAAATTCCCTTTTAATATTTAGTACAGAAAATAAGATATATATAAGTTATATTAAATGGTATAGAAATTAACTGAAATAAAGTAAAGCCCACATGTACTTTACAACCATTTGATATGATGAGCATTGGAATGGCATCAAATATTTTTGACAATATTTTTTATATTCAGTGTGTGTACACACCAATCTTCACCCTCTCGATATGGGCCTGAATGTAGGCTTACATTCTGGTCTAGCAAAACTAATAATTGGCAAAACATCACTAGCCATTTAAAACCACAAAAAATGTGATCGTAAATAAGTAAAATCAGACATTATCATAGAATTCAAAATTACTTCAAAAAGACATCTGCTTTACATGTAGACTTGCACGTACAGTGAATATAATTCTATATTATATTTTTGTCTTTTTGTCTGAATCTAGTACAGTATTCTCCTTGGTCTCATAAAATGTTGGATAACATTTTGATTGAAATTATCATACCAGATAAATAATTTCAACTGTACAAGTTAACTGTTTCTTCATATTAAAGTGAATCTACCTTGATTCCTATTAACAAGTTTCATCTTATCGGCTAAGTTCTACACATAATATTTGAGTATTATTTACAATAATATATACATTTTTTATACTCTAGTTAGCTTGAGAACTATTTCATATATCTGTAAACTATAATCCTTTTCAAGATACAGCTTTTATAACTACTTGGTCAAATTGATCTAGCATTTTGTGCAATGATTTAAGACATTATTTTATTGCTCTTTCCATTAGCGTTAGAATAAGCAATTCTGAACAGCATGTTGTAGTTAATTTAATGGGAACGACAGGATGTAGGTAAACGAGAATTCACGTACCATAAACAAAATAATGCGAAGTCTAGCATCATGATGTCATTTGGCTACGGTCTGCGAGCCGAGGCATAATTGATATCAATCTTTGCTATCATTTTATTATCATTAGAGATGCGAACGGGAAGTTAAAGCTTCGCAAGATATAAGGAGTTAACGGCCGATGAAATATGTCATTACAATACACTGCACGCTGACAGAGAATGATTACCATGGAAATCAACGAATTAAACATGAAAGCATGTCAATGAATGATTCACGACAATTAGGATTCAGAAACGAAAGCATATCATCCAAAATCACATGTACCAACATGTTTGTCACGACCCACCATTGGGTCGCAAAAATATTTTGGTGGGTCACAAATTTGACAGAAATCATTAATAAAGCTATGCAAAATTTTTGAGTGAAAAATTTTTCATAAAAAGGTAATTTTATATATACAGTCGTGTCTTTTGCAAAGAAATGCGAGGTGCTGATAAAATTCCACTGCCGCACCCTCCCTAGCCACTTAATTCAATGGGCGAGTACCTATACCACTCATACAACATACTAAGTACCCCCACACACATTCAGATATATTATTTAAAAATCAAAATAAAAAAAAACAAAAACCAAAAATCATGATCTGTATTTCTCTCTTGACATTCATAATGAGTATTGTTGTAGGCTATAGAACTAGATCGAGTGCATGTCGGCTATATGCAATTCCACTGTGCTGGGGGATCTGTGACTATTTAGCAGCACTTGGCCAATTGTGAAATGGAAGTAATAACCAAACATATGCACGTTACATTTGTTAGGTTAATCTGTAATTTGAATGACATAATGTGTCAGCATGTGCACGCATACTTGACCCTATTTCTAATGGTGAAGATAAAAATATACATACACATACACTCAAAGAAAATACATACGCCCCTTCTCGTACATAAACGCCCTTCTCACAGTTGCTTGGCATAGTGCACAAGGAAAAAGTTTACATTTATGATGTTTTTATTGAATACTGTTGATCCCTCTATCATTCTTCATCTTAGCATGGTGGCTCATCATTAACTCACAACAGGTTGTCAAATGACCCGGATGACATCATTGATAATCTGACAGACTGCTATAGAAGAATCTTCAGACTTGTCTGCACAAGTTTATTATGCGATGCTTTATGTACACACCTGTTGTCTAACCTTAAGATGCACCTGTTCTTTAAGGAACACTTGTTCTTTAGGAATACCTGGTCATAATGTACCCCTGTTCTCAAAGTATCCCTGTTCTTAAAGTATCACTGTTCTGGGTACAGTAATCCTGTTTTAAAGAGCTCCTATTCTTAATGTATACACGTTCTTAAAACAGATCTGCTCTTAACACTTGTTGTTAAAGTCAGACCTGTTCTTAATGTACTCCTGCTCTTAAAGTAACATTGTATTCACTGTTCTTTAGGTAACCCTGTTCTTATAGGTAGATAAATCAAAGAGACTCCTGTTTTTAAAAAGCTGTTCTTAAGGCAGATTTGATAATATGATACCTATGCTGTTTAAGGTACCCCAGTTATTAAAGTAGACATGTTCTTATGGTACTCCTATTCTTTAAGAAGGCCTGTTCTTATGAAAACCTGGTGTAAGTACACTTATTCTTCCGGTAGCCCTGTTTTTAAGATAGCCCTATTTTTGAGCAGTGTTCTTCAAGTAACCCCTGTTCTTTAGGTAAATCTGTTCTTAAGGTACACATAATCTTAATATACATACTGTTCTTCATGGATTTCTAATTTTATCAACTTTACTCTAAGTATAGGAACTAAATTAAATAAATTACTAAATACGCATCACTGAATTAGGTTTAAACATTCCTATATTAGAGATGACTTGTTAAAGTGATTAGCAGACATGAAAACTGTGTTTGGATAACATCTGGCCTGTATATTTACGTCACTACATCAAGCAAAAGATGATGTTTTATGTTTTTTTAATAGTATATGTATTAATATAATATATTTCTTTCTATATTTATATAATATAAACAAATCGACAGAGAATAATATTATACTCAAATAGGAACACGATGTTCCTATAACATTTTGTTCCTATTTGAGCACTGTTATTATACACCCTTTTGTTTACATATATTGTGTTTACAGTGCCACACAGCATACCTAATTTGAATATGTATATAATATATATTGAAAGAAAAAATATTCAGAATGTTGCTGTTTACAGAAGATATTTTTTTTTTTAATAATAGTATAATTATGAGGAATATTGTTGTTGGCCTATTCATATATTTGTTTAGAAGAAAAAGCTGTATCTGTTTACAGTATTTTGATTTATATCCCATTTTCCTGTGCAAAAGACTACATTTCTTTTAGTAATGAGGATTTCCCGTTTATAAGCAGTGCTTTATCTGGATAGAATTTTCCTTTATCCTTAATAATTTTAAAATTATTATAAATCATGGGTACCGGCATATGCTGGGAACGTAAACAGACTGCTTGGGGATGAGTGGCAATCCCCCTACAGCCTTGCTGTCTGGCCCAAATGCCAAGGAAAGAGAGACGGGCACAAAAGTCATTTTAAATGCAAAAAATCTGTTAAAAATTGTTGCATTTTTTTTTTTTTTTTTTTGGAAGATAATGTACACTTCCTAACACTGATAGTGACAGATTCACAAATACTTCCAGTTGCCAAAGTTAACACATTTAGTGCAACAAACAAACACTTAAAATATACATATTAACACTGCTCTAACAGCTGATATAGCAACTACTTGTATAACATATAAGTATTAACAACTGTACTTACTGCTGGTTCAATGTTTAATTCCTTCCTCTCTTTGTCTCCTTGATCAAAAAACTCACTAGTAACAAGTTCAGCTATCTATGGGGAAAAAACACAACCAAAAATAAAATGAACGATATGTCTTATTACAAGAAATACTGCACAATACAGCCATGTTTTTACACGTGGTAGCCAGTGTTTTCCAAGATGTGGGCCGGGTTTGAAATTGGATAGTAGGATCATTTGCATATAAAGTGGGCTTGCTGAGGGTCTTGGGAACATACATGTACTCTTAAAAGATTTTCTTAACGATACTCAGTGGAAATATGATGTAGCAATACAAGCCTCAGTAAGATGCATTATAGTGCATGACATTATTATTCTAGAAAGAAGTACATTTTAAAACAATACCATGTTTAATTTAGTGTCTTCAAAAAGGAAGTGATACATTGTTTCATCGGAATTTATTGCTTTCAAATGTTTCCCTCAGTGGTAGGCCCAGAGTTTGTTGCTGGCACAAGTGGCAATTCAATATCCTGTATTTATATGGTGCATAAATATGGATAAATGAATTTGAGCACTAGTGTTCCAAAGGGAGAGCCTATGTTTCTGAGAGGATGGTTTGTAGTGTTACCTATGGTGGGCTAAAGGGGCTTTGCAGTTTTATACCAAATTTAGTCTTTTTTTTTTTGGTGGTACAAGGTGGGGGAATTAGTGGTGTGCAAGTGTCCCTCTGCCAACCCTGGATCCCCACCTTCCTTTAAGACTTTTTACAATGATGTTTATCCCTGCATTTTAGGAAGTTGAAACAGATTTTACCTCAACATTTTTTATTACTTGCTATGCATTTTCTTTTTTGTTAACACATTATGTAAAGAGGCCAAAGTGGATGTATAATAAGCTTGAGGATACAATAAATATATTTCTTGTAGCATCCAATGAGACAGAAGGTTAATTTTTTTTTTTATTGAAAACAAGTTTTTCTTTGTGTTCTTTGCTACAATAATTTCTGTAAGCCTCACTAACTTGTTTGTGTAGTCTATAATTAGATAATTTTATTACTACTGCAAATATATGGTGTGTGTTTCTTTGAAAATACAATACATTTCCTCGTACAGCAGATTGTTGTGTTCTCAGGGGAGGATATAGCTACATATAAGCATGTATTTATCATATGATCAATGATAATAATGTAGAATAACCTATCGGGAATCATAAACTGCCATCAAGGCATTGACTATTTGACCTTTTCTAGCATGACCTTTGCAATGCTGATTTATGCAAAGGATATCAGTTTAAAATTTAACTTTGTTAATGAGACATAACGTTATTCAGGATTGGGCAGATTTGAAGTACATAAATTTGAAGTTAAATATATAACAAAAACATATTCTCAAGTATTTGGGAATATACTAAGTCATATCAGGTTGGAAATATACAACATTGTTATTTAAGAATACTAACAGTAACACTATCAGCCATAATAACAATTAAAAAAAAAAAAGAAGTCAAGAAGTTAGAAAATATATATGTAAGAAGTACTATTTTCAAAACAAAATAAAATAAAATAAAGAAATGGCAGAGAAGGCTGCAGCTCTGCAGGTGGAAATGGCTGCACGAGCAGCTCTCTGAGATATGTGCGCCTAATATAAGATGACATTATTACTATTATTATTATTATAACAACACTAAATATGTGAAAATTGTTTTCACAGCATGTTAGAAATATGGATTATTATAATAAACCATAATTACGCATCTTTAGTACATACCACCGTGATACAAAACATAACTAATTCAAAAAACCTAATGGCCATTAGAGGACTCTTGCACTGCATCTCTCATTTTATCATCCAAATTGCACTGGGTATGAAGGAGTTATGTTTTTTTTTTGTCATTACACTGGGTATGACTAAATAGCTGTCATATCTGTTGACGAAATTATAAGTACAATGGAGCTATTGCTGATTGTGTTATGATCCACTCAGACTTGCTGTCCAGTAACAGCGAAGCGAAGTTTGTTGGCTTAATAAAACAGTATAAATGCTTGCACAGGGTATGAAGGAGTACCGTAAATAATGGAAGTGCCTCTCAAATATTAGGCACATAATAATCAAAATAATTTGTAATATGCACTGCTCCCAAATAAACACTGCAACGAATATAATAATCAGGCAGATCCAGGAATTTTGAATGAGAATAGAACAAGGGCATTAGTGTGGAAATGCTCAATAGAGCAGGATGCCAAGAAACACGGGTCCAATTTATGCTGTGTTACAAAACATTGTAAACTTTTGTATTTGTATTTCATAAAACCTCCACCGACAATCTTAAAAAAATGAGTTTTCAATAATTATTCTTTTTTTTTATATTCATCTTGCCTAAAATCATTGTTGTGATGTAATTTTCGCCATGTAAGGCTAAAGCTAGATTTTCAATAGACATGATAATGACACAACAATGACATATCATCGCATAGTTTGCATTCTTCAACAATGCACGCATACATATCGTGTCGTCGTATTCGCGTCTAGTGTAAATGTGGCTTAACTTGAGCTTTAAGCTGGTACAGAAGAATTTAAGGGGGTTGGTTTTACAAAAGGGCACTTTAAGTCCAAACCCCTAGATATCTGGTAATGCCACTCCAAACAAAATTTTTTAAATTTATTTCAACAACTTTTTTTAAATTTTTTTACCTATCACTTCCATGAAAATGGTATTATATTCAACTATTTTAATAGGGCATTTCTGGAAAAAAAAGGGGGGTATTTCAAACCCATTGAACCTAGCTCGCTACAGGCTTATCACTTCACAGAACCACTGCCAATGTAGGATAACAATGTCTGAGGAAGAAAGCCCTACCTTCTGCTGTGTCTTCCACGTCTTGGTGCTGGCCGCCACATCACATGCTGTCATTAGCATACTCCTATTGGAATAAATCAAGAACTGATAAATATTTACAGTTGCTAACACTAAATCAACAAGGTGCTCTTCTGCTATATCTCAACAGTAATTTGTTTGCATTTGCTGGAATGAATGACATAATAACAGAAGTTTATCAACAATATCTTTTTAATGATGGCGTGTTTATCATTGGTTACTGTGTACCAAAGTAAAGGTCAAAAGTCATTTATTGTCAACCATACAACCAAGGTAAAATTGTAAATTGTCTTCGCAATCAAAATCGTCTCAACAAAGCACTTTAAAAATAAGTGCTAGTCACGAAATAGCCATATTGTAAATAAATCCTCAATGTCTTTTAATCTTGCATATGTTTTCATAAAAATCTTATGCTTCTAAATATATTTTTCAAATATGGTAAGAGATTTATAAAGTGCATATAACTAGTAATCATGGTGTCGAAACGGCAGTCTCGTGGAAAAAAAATGTAGACAAACTTGTCGATTTTGAGACATCATTTTGTTGCCGAGTTACAAACATGCAAAAGTTACGTTATTCTGCCTTGGAATGGCTAAAAAATAGCACACAGTGATTTATGTAATTAATGATGGGGAGGGTGGTGTTGTGTGCAATGCCGTAGCCAGGATTTTCAAACAGTGCGGGACAATTATATCGGGGTGGACCCACTTTACGCGTAAATTCAAATACAGTTGAACTCGCCTTAGTCCAATCTAAAATGCCATTGAAAAATTGTAAAAAAATTTGACTTATCGATTGCTAATTAATAGATACAACAATTTGGCATTGTAAAATAAGTTTTACTTAAATTATTAGAGTTAGGCAAAGTCGACTTATGCAAGTTCAACGGTAATGGGGACACATTTTCTTAAAAGTTGACCTATTTTACACAAAATATGAGAAATCTGGACACATTTTTCAAAAAGTGGACTCATTTCGTGCCTGAAAAATTATAGACCTATTTGGGAAAATGTGGACCCAATTCTCTGTGGACCAAATAGAGAAATTGTGTGGGATTGTCCCAATAGCTGGCTACGGCATTGGTTGCGTGGAGGAAGTGAGGGTAAGGATGGTGTGTACTCAGCTATTGTACCTTTTTATATCTTATAAAATTTTTAATAACACAGCCTAATATTCCATACATACCGTAGTAGTTCTCGATTCTGTGAAATAATCCAATCCGCTTTTGAATCTACAAGTTTAAAAAACTGGTCTCTAACTCTATAGGTAAACAAAAAAAAAATCAAGTAAATATTAATATATATTGTATAGATAATCTTTAGTAAAACTCCATCATGCACTAACCTGTGCATCAAAAATGATAAAATGAGTTGTCAACTTCTGAGATGCAGATGGACAAATAGTTTTAATGGCGATCGGTTCAAACTGACAAAAAAGAAACAGCATATGGCATGGGCTTAGGTTATGTGTGCGGGCGGACCCCTCCCCATGGCAGCAAAAATAGGTTAAAATACTAAAAGTCACTATCAAGTTTTCATTGAAATAGGAATTCCACATTCTCAATTTTTACACATACGCACATATACACACAACAAATTTAATTCAGTTCTATAAATAAATATTTATATTGATGGATATTTAATGTGTGTATGTATCTATCCATGGAGATGCTTATGTCATAATAAAACATGAAATAAAATTGATAGACCAATTATATACTGCATCCCTGATGGCATCAATGTGATTTAAAGCTGATATGTCTCAAACTAAAATAGAATGCTAATTAAATGGCAGAGACTTTGCTACGTCCAGATTATATATATTTTTTTTTTTACAAAAACACTGTCGTATGTCTATGATAGTCATGATGTGCTTATATATATATATATATATGATCAGGATGTGATGTCATCATGACCATATTTAGGCATATTTTTGTGAAATAAAATTTGATATTCTGGATAGGGCTTTAGAGCAGGTTAATAAGATACTGTCTAAAAAAAAATAATTCCATATTTGAACTGCTAATTTGAATATTTAAGTTAACTTATAAATTAAACATAAATGAGAAAATGTTTTCCACATCAATTAATGGACAGTCTAATACCTTTCATGTATTCTTTTGAATAACCCTTTAAATTGGCTGGCAATCAACAGTTTCTTTAGTAAAATGTCTCAGTATTTGAAACTATTTCTGGTCGGAATTTAATCCTAGCTTTAACTGAGATTTTTTTTTTCAATTTTTTTTTTCAATTTTTTGTGCATTTTTAAGGTGCAGTGAAGATTGATGGTGTCAAATGAATCAAAGTACTAAAGTGAACCTCATTAAGAAAAGAAACTGACCAATAAGAAGTGTCAGCTCACAAAATTTGGGAGCCTTGGTCTAGTAGTGGGGATTTCTGATTGGTAAGTTTGCAAGCAAAATGAGGAATAATTTACTAAGTTACGTTATTAAAAAAATCATAGACTATAAAAAAATATCTTTAATAGTATTCTTTAAAATTAACTTCTTTTAATTAATATGTGGCAAAGACAAGCCAAACCAGTCACTTGTCGCAAAAATCAATTTTTAGTTATTAATACAGGGTTTAACAGTAAAATGAGAGCTATAAAATGGTAAAAGAATCATTTAAATCCGACATTTCGTTATGAAGTTACAGCTGTTTAAAGAACAATATTTGAGAAATCAGCCTTCAAAGTTTAAGCTTTCAGGCATTTCTTAGGCAGAAACCATCACCAAATCGTTAAAAATTGTTGTTTTAACATTGAAAATTAGGAAAATAACAGCATAGTATGATGTATAGACATATAAAGGTTAGTTTAGTGCAATAAAATAAATTTCCAAAATTTTGAAATTCCAGCACGTTTTGGCCATTATCTCCAAAACAGGATTTGCGACAAGTGACTGGTTTTGCTTGTCTTTGCCACATATGTGCAAAGGGACTTGTAACAATTATAAAACAATTATTTTTATAGAAAGGTATGCTTGATTTTGTGCTGATAATACCATACAGCTTTAAACAAATTAATTAATTTTTTAATTTTGTTATTTGTTTTCATATTTTTTTTGGTCAGTACCCCAGGGGCACAAGGTCCCTGACACTTTACCCCAGATCAGCCCCCAAGTATGATGTCACTGATAGTAATATCAGCAAGTCACCAAACAAACGATTAAGGTTATGTATTATTTTTTATAATTTTAAGAGCACTTCTCCAATTCAATTTTTATTCAGTGCATAGCTACGAAAGTGAATCATGGACACTTTATTACAACTAAGCCATAATGAGAATAATGCTCTAGAAAAGTGGCAATGAAAATTTATGAAGATAATTTGGACAAATTTTTTAACCATAGTAACTATGGTATTAAGAACTCAGGACAGATTTAGTTTTATGAGACAAAGGGGACGATGAAAAATTAAGATTGCTGTACACAGGGCTATTAAGAGTTTTATATTGATTATACTTGATACATAATAATCTGGAAGGCAATTTATTGGGAAATCAAGCAGAAGACAACCAAGAATTATGAATATAATGTGGCAACAGAGAATAATGGTAAAACAAGAATTGGCAATGAGAAAACAGCCGGTGGGGTCTTGAAATGGGTTGGGGGAAAGGCTGATGGGAGGCGCGAAGGCGACATGGTGGTAGTCAATGATTAGGTGGGGGGGTGCTAGCTGAAAAAATAAGGTAATTTGAGGCAATTTTTACCTACTTGATCATGATTGTTTTACTTAGACACTCTTAATGGAGGGTTGGGGAGCAAATGGGGATGGGGATGTGGATATACCGCTGATGATAGCCAACCTTGGCACCAAACATTGCATTACCATATTTATTCTCTCAGGGAGATCTTATTGTTCAGTAGAGAGGGAGGTCAAATCAAGGGGGATATTTTTTTGGTTTTTATCAGTTAATATTATTCCAAATGAAGTAAACTGTAGGCATTAACTAATTTTCAGAATTCATCTTGATAATTTTGGCATATTGTGGTGCTTCGTGTACAAAATTGATTAAACCACAATAAATAGTATTTATACCTCTTAAAATTTCTATAAGGATAATTTCAACATACCTTTGATAATTATTAAGTACAGTTTATTTGGCAGTATTTCAGATTATTGGTTTTAAGCTTTTCTATTTTTCAGAAAGTAAAAAATCTTTGTGAGTGGGCCCTAATGTGGCTGATTGGCAATTTTTTTTAAATTTTTTTTTGTAGAGAAAAATTAACTTGATGTGCATGTTTCAAATGATATTTAGGAAGGGCTGTTTATTCGAGATTCGAGATGGGGGTTTACTTGAAGCGGGGCATTCAAGCAAATATGAAATCTCGAGGGGATAGGGGCATAATACGTGATCGTGATGGATATGGCAATAAGAATTTGACATTTTGAGAGTGATAAAAAAAAAAGATAGATTAAACTCCTACTTGAAATGCGTGGTGAGGTCGGTGGAAAGTATTGCATGCTTCAGTATGTTCATCACCTCACTGTATTCCTGGGATGAAAGACTTGAAAAGATGTTATGACCCTAAAAGAAGAAAAAAAAAAAACATGAAAGAAAGATCATATACATGTAGGAAGCTCTATGTAACTCAGAAAAATCAGACTTGGTCTCTCGGAACTTGCTGGGGTGGTGGTTTGAGTACTCTATGAGAGAATTTCCAGGGGAGTAGGTCGGTTTCAGTCGGAGGTAGGGGAAGATGTGAACTACAGTAATTGGGGGGATTATACATTCCCAGCCTTCCCATCATTTCTAGGGGTTTCTTTTCAAAACTTCTAAAGTGTTTAATCACGTACTACCTTTTTACATAAAAAAAACCATAAAAAACAAGGTGTTTTCTAGTCAATACTGCTTCGCGGGTCGCACACATATGGTTTTTAAATTCATCTTCGCTGGCCGAAAAAAACATCACTCTCGGGCTGCATGTGGCCTACAGTATGCTGATTGGCCTTGCAAAAAATTGCACTTGTACTTGTCGATCATCCTCACATTATTATTAGAATATACAGTACTGGTATGCACTAAAGATGACATGTACGCAACAAAGGCATCATCGCTTCGCACCATCTACTTTCACACCATTAGAATGTCATGTTCACACCATTATGTTCTAGGCATCAAGTTTGACACTATGAACATCCATAGCAAAATGTCACACTCGTTAATGAACCAACATGTTCACACAAAGTTTTTAAAACATAAGATGCCATTATTGTTTTCACTATAGATTGTCATGTTTATACATAGCTTTATTTATATGATGTCTTTTTTGGATTATTGAATTTGACTTTGTTGTTTTGATTATGTATTATTCTGTAATTTAAGTATTCTCATTTAGGGACCACAGTGGAAATAAGTTGCTTTTTTGTACTTTTTTGTGCTTTTATCCTTGAATGTATTTTACTTATAATTACTTCAGAATGAATAAATAAAAAGTTCACAACATATCTATATAAATTCTCAGCATATTTATATCATATAATTGAGGTATTTTACTGCACAATATTAAAACATCGAAAAAAAAACCAAACAGAAGTAAAAAAAAATTTACTGAAAACGTTACATGAATTTCATGTTGCATATACACTGCCATGTTCGCACATACACCACCATATTTGCACGCACCATTGGCACCATACATCTTCATTATCACAGAAATTCAGTTTTTGAATATCAGTTTGATTATAATACATTTGTCTCATCAAATATAAAAGGCACTTGGGCCTCGTGCCTGTAAAGAGTTTAATTACTGAAATAGAAGCATTGCAATGTTACAAGTGTTTTCCCATAACGATCACTTGCAGATGTGCGTGACTTTAAGATATTTTGAATCCATGTACATGTAATCCAATACTAAACGACTTGTGCTAATGTCTTGGTAAAAAAACAATCAGCACATGGGTAATTATCAAGAGGTTTAAAATGATCTAAACAACAGGGCAAAAGTTGGTGTAGGAAATGTTGATATAATATTTCTATAGCAACAACGAAAATGACAATTTCGTTTAATTTTTTTTTTAAACAAATAAATTTACAAGTAATACAATAATATAATGTTTTAACAATCAAATACAAGTGGAAATTTCATAAGCAAAGTTACTAAAGTAAAATATCTCACAGTATGACACTCATTGGCACTGACTGCTGTGAGACAATAGATGACAATATATGTAAAAACATGTAAATATATGAAATCTTGCGGAAAATTGGTTATTTTCCCGGAGATTCTTGCTTGCTTGCGGGAGCACAGGAAGCAAGATTTCGGGGAGACACCTTCAAATTTGGGTCCCTTGAAATTTTATACTGTCAACTAAAAAATAAATGGCCTATAGGTGACCTATTGTAGTTCTCCAACTAATCAGACACTAACATCCTCTACAGTACAGTATATGATAAGCATCATTCTTATATATATTTTCTCGACTCTTGAATTAAACTAGCTATATTGGTTGCTACCATCCATTGTCAGATGGTCAGATAAATCACAATGGTAGGATGACAGACAGTCTGAAGGCATCGTCAAAAAAAATTACGGATCATTCATATACTTGTAAAAATACTACCTTGATAGGGCAGAGAGAAAACATTTCAAGGGTGAATACCTGAGAACACCTAGGAGGAGGAGGTCTCAGAAAAAATGTCAAATTTGTGAAACATGAAATTTCTGCACATAGTTAATCTGTATTATTTTAGATTGAGCAACCTATAGACAGTTAGATTTTGATATGTATTGTATCTGTCAACACTACAGTATTGTATCTGTCAACACTACAGTTTCCTACACAATATTGTAACAAAACATTGACAACCGAGATGACAACATCGGAAAGGGACTACATTTAAATATCAGAAAGGTCACTGCTACCAGCAAAATCGAGTTCATATAGAGCTTTTGTTATGGATTACTTCTCAATATTTTTTTTTTATGTAATAAAATAAAATTGCTATAAACAAGGTTCCAATGCATGCACTGTTAGTGAAACTAAATTAAAAAGTTGAAAAAATATGTGTTTTTAGATCTACCGACCTCCGCCTCATCCCACTCTGCAATTTTTCTCTGACTTTTCGACCCTTTTAGAACAATATTCTTTATCTTCAAATCTTGTCATTACTGGTGACTTTAACATTCATATAGACGATCCGAGTACTAGACCAAAGATGAACTAAATTTTCAATTTTTGTATTTTTCTTTATTATTTCCATTTACACACAATTACAAAATATGTTTTTTATTCACGTATGACAAAGAAGGCCATCAGCACATATAATCACTATAGAATGAAATGGTAATCACTTCATCTATATTACAAACACAAACATAATAAGTTACACGATATTATATGATACAATACGATAAAACTTTATAGTCACCAGCGGTGTAATCTACCGCACAGGGACGTGATATAGTTCTTAATAGATACTTATATTGCCGTAGTAGTAAAATAGAGAAAATATGTTACTTCTCAACGTTGCACAAGAATGCCAATATGTTGTATATATTATTATTTTAACTCTATTTTAAAAATTGCATTATACAAACTCCCGCAATTTCCTGTTGCAATCTTGTTACTGGTGTATGCTATAATCACAGACCCTGTGTAGGGTCTGTGCTGTAATTAACAAAAATATATAGTTAAAAATAAATTCAAAGCAATGCACTTCATCTGTTGTGATTTCTTTAAAAAAAGCTAATTAGATCCTCATACTTTGTAGACAAATTTAAAATCAACATGCAATTGACTTAAAAAATTACTTTGTGGTCTTCCCGCTCAAACTTTGCAAGATTTTTAACAATCTAGCAGTACTGGTGTGCTTCATGTAAGTTGACCTAACATCATCAAGTGTGACTTTGCAATTTGTATAGACAATTGAGTTGCATCGGTGATTTTTACAAGTTTACAATGCAATTTTTTGAGGGCCAAACTGTCATTATAATAGGTAAATATTTGTACATGTTTACATCATGCAAACTGTCAAGATAATTAAATGCCTAATTATCAAAGTGTATAATGGCGAGAAGTATGAGAAAAGGATGATGCTTTATACTGTAAACAACCAGACATTCTTGATAAAAAAAATCCCATCATTGTAACAGCAAGGACTATGGAACGGAAGACAAGAAATATTTCTGGTGACCAGGGGAATACTGATGCCAGCACATTAGTATATTCTCTGGAATGTGAAAGGCACCATATAAATTCGGATAAAAAACAAACAAAAAACAAAAGAAACTCCAAATTATAGTGCTACTCAAAAATATTACCCTCCTTTTACATGTCGTAAATGAGATACAAGATACTAGATACAAAGTAACTTTATTGTTGTAATGCACAAGATGCATACAAAATTTGCTTCCAGTTGCTAATAACTCCATACAAATACACAGATTGCACTAAAATGTTTTATTTATTCATTCGACTTCACATAGGCAAATATACAATAAATTAACAATGACATAAAAAAGTTGCCAGTGACGGGAAAAGGCCTACAGATGAACAATTGCACCAATGATAGCGGCCAATCCTGCATTGTACAAATGAAAAGATATTTAAAAAAATGTTAAATGTACACTAAAATTTATAACTCTATGCCTATAAAAGAAATATTAAAACAGTATCAAAAAGAAACTTTCAGGGAACAAATACAAATACAAGATAAAGTTAAATTATGTATACAGAATCTAAAGGGTAAATGGACAGAAGAAAAGTACAGACTCCGTCTACTTAAAGACTGCTCCAATTAAAGATAATTTTCTGTGGTCCGATATTAAAATTATCTTTATTTATTGCAATAAGAGACCAAAGGTGCTAAAGACCATTGAAACCCAAGTCCCAAAAACAGTCGTTAATTGTAGACAGACCTGTATATAACCTTTAACCTTTACAGTAAAAAATAATGTAATCGTAACTAACGGGCAATTTAGTTTAGAAGACAAAAAATTGTTCAGTGCTGGCCACATTTGGCTAGTGTATCTAAAGTAAAATGGAACTTCATACAAAAAAGCCTGATAGTACTTATACATTTTGCAACAGAGATCGATGTTTAAGGGGAAAAAAATAATAGGATCGCATGTAACTTAAGTTGGCAGTAATTATAATTGGCATTTAATTGCTTAATAAATTATGTTCTTTTAATCTTGGCATTCTAAAATTAGAATCATGAGTTTAGGTAAGAGCCGTAGATTTGGAGGTGTTGCTTTTGGCAACACTTCCACAATACTTCATGCAACTATACTTTAATGTCCAACTTTATAGCGACAATTGAACTTATCAATATTTCCTTGGGTACCTCAGTTATAAGCTCACTTCAGCATAAGCTCACTTCAATATAAGCCGTACCCCATATTTTATGCCCAATTTCACATACCAGCATTTCTGGGTATAATTTGAACGAGTAGCTAAGGGTGACTTTTATAAAATAAAATCAAATATTGGCTTTGAATTAGGATTGCAGTGATGAATAAATGCCTTTTGATTGAATCCGCCCAATTTTGTGTTGAAGAGGATGGGCTCATACAAGACGAATACACTTCCAAAAGACAGATGGCTACAAACACAAAAGAAAACTGGGGAGGGGGGAATGAGAGAGAAAAAACTGATAAAAAACTAAAATTCGCCAAATTTAAACACTATCTTGCAGATATGGAGAGATCTGAAAATAAAAAATTAACAGAATCTGAAAATATTTATTTTATTATTTAATTTAACAAGCTATGTTCATATGTTATATAAATGACAAGAGAGATCAAATTATACGATGGACTGTGGGTTTGAATATCTAGGTCAATTTTGCAAAATGATATTAAAATGTACCATTATTGGACAAAATAAATGAAATAAGTCATGTCGTCCCTCTAGACCAAAACTAAATCCATACAGCCTCTAATAAAAACAATAATTTCCCACAAGAACACTACAAGCATATTATATGTACCGTCTGGTACTATATTTTCATCTGTTCACAGGTTGGCATTATATTATAGAAAAATAACTCAGTGTTGTTTAAAATACGAGTTACCTGTATAGGGTCTGTTTTAACCATGCGTTGTATTATGGTTAAGACACAGTTAAAATATCAGCTAGCATAAGCTCTGTTATACCGGATGTATTTTAACCATTCAACTGAGCTGGTCCATGAGCTGTATTATGGTTAAAGACACCAGTGGTTAAATTATCAGTTAGTGGTAAGTTTTACCTAGCATATTTTAACCATTAAACTGAGTAGTCAATGCATTTATTATGGTTAACATACTCGTGATTAAAATATCAGTTAGTAGTAAGTTTACCTGGTGTAAATATAAAAATGAGTGGTCCATGTGTTGTATTTATGGTTAAGATACAGTTGGTTAAAATATCAGTTTGCAGTAAGTTTACCTACTGCAGTGTATAAAATTTTAGTAGTTCATGCATTATATGGTTAAAACACTTGGTTAAAATATCAGCTAGTGTAAAGTTTACCGATAGAGTGTACTTTATCATAAAACTAATTGGTCCATGCATTGTATTATGGTTAAGATACTCTTAAGTATCTTAACTAAATATCAGTAGCGTTAAGGTCTCTTATACTCAGTGTAATTTGAAGGCTTGGGTATGACGCTCAATCTTTGCGTTTAGAACTACAGAGCTGAAGAGCGTGTGATTGATCCACCGAGGATAATTTCCTTCTAACGTTGTCCAGCACTTGTAATTATGTCAAGATGGTATGATATATAGACCCTCGTTGATGTGCAATTTTTAATCTTGAGCACTGAATAATTAGAATTCCTGTTCTTGAGGGAAATTTCTTGTTTATCCTTAAGTATATATTTTGTATATGATTTTTGCAATATTTTTGCAATTACTGCATTTTTGTATATACTTTTCTAAATTTTGAAATATTAGATGTTTTACTACTGTTGTATACATTTTTATTTGTTTTTTCTATACATATATATATACATATACATATATAT